TATCCTAATCAGCTGGATGTTTTCAGTCAGCAAGTAGTTTCACTTTGCTTTAATGCTCCACTACTTATTTTAGTATCAAGATTATTCTAGGACAAATACTTATAAAGCTGAACCAAATATCATAGTATTAAAATACTATAATACATTATACATAGGGCAGAGATATATGATATTTGTACTAGGCTGCTTGCTCTATCATGTTAGTCTCAGCAGTATTACGAGATTCACTGAGAAGTGATGGCAAATATTCACAGATGCTCATCCTGTCATGAGTCCATGTCCTTTTAATCAGGATGAATTTTTGTATGCCCAACTGCAAGCTAGATGCCTAATTATGGTGCGCCCATCCTTGCCAGCACATTGTGATGCATGGCTTGGATATGACTGACACAGACAACATTATTAAACCATTTTGCTCGCCAGACCTCAACTCAGGCAGGACTTTAACCCAAATTGGGTTATGCCAGTTAGGACTTGTTCAACCACTGTCAAAGATGGATATCTTCACTACCCTCATCATTACAAGAGAGAGAAAGAGAGAGAGAGAGAGAGAGAGAGAGAGAGAGAGAGAGAGAGAGAGAGAGAGAGAGAGAGAGAGAGAGAGAGAGAGATGTATTTGAAATTATTCAGCCATCTTCCAGAAAAGATTTTGCTTCAGTGCTTCATACATTCATTTGATCAAGCAGTTTTTACAGTAGAATCAGCAGATACTTTGACTGCATCACAGAGTTGTTCAATGAAGGTCTCTTGACTTGGAGAATGCTGGAAGAAACAGCATTCTCTCTCAGGAAGCCTGGACATTCCTAGCTTGTACATCACCAAGTCAGCGTAAGACTATTTCAGGAAAAGTGGAACATATTTTTTGCCTAGAGAGCTGAGAGGCTTTTATTAAGAAAAAGAAATGAAAATAATGAAAGAAAGAAAGAAGAAAAAATAAACAACATATCAAATATACTTCCTAATTGTAAGTCCTTATGTCAACCTACTTATCAATTGTTCACAAAATTGTTGATGTTACACAGCTGCAAATAAAGACATATAAGCTGATATCAATTCAGACCAATAATCACCTGTGTTTATATCATAGAGTAGAATATTCACATCTGTAAAACTGAAGTCCTATTTGCATTTGCGGTCATGCATATGAGTATATATGTATATACATGTATATATATACATACATATACACACATATACACACACACACACTCTCTCACACACACACACACACACACACACACACACACACACACACACACACACACACACACATACATACATACATACATACATACATATATATATATATATATATATATATATATATATGTACACACACACACACAAACACACTATAAATAAATTAATAAATTCATATTGCTTACTTAGACTCTGACATTAAGACGCAGATGATAACAAACTTAAAATATAATACAGTTATAGCCAGACAAAAGTTGTTTCTCCTACAACACTGTAGTAAACATATCCCCATGTTTGCCAATTCCTTTCAGAGTTGTAACAGTGTTATAAATGATAAACGGATAAACAGATTTCACAATGATAACATATCAAATAAAGCGAAAGGAACAAGGTCTACTGAGTATCCCAGTTGGCACAAGCTGTAATTCTAAATGTATGTATCTTTATATACTAATCTGAATGCCACCTTGTATATACATAGGTGAAAAAAAATGTGGCAAAAGTCAACCCACTTTAACTAGCCCTGCCAGATATTCTAGTCCCAGAAGTTTATATCTGCTATATAAAAACATACACTGGAAACATTGACTTCAAACGGCCAAGTATATAGTAATGGTCCTGAAATATCTGAGCTTAGGAGATTTGCATCTTTTTCACTGATGTGTAAGTGTGCTTGAATGGCTGTTTGCTTTAAATTGCATGGTCATATGCATATGTGATTTAACACTCATTTTGCTTATTTTTCACAACAGCAATGATATGAAACACACAGAAAATAATAAAAGAATACAATGATATACAGAACACAGGCAAATTATAACACAATATGAAATGAAATCTATCCTGGCATACTCATAAATGTGCTATTAGTATCTGTATTTATGTGTACACATATGAAGGTCTAAATGCTTCTACAAGGAAATATCTATCAATAGCTGGGAAAGCATATAATTACAGATATTTCTGTTGGTGTACTCAGAAGTGTGTATGTTCTGGAAGTTGTTTTTTGCCATATCAGGATATAGGCATAATAATGTAATACATATAATTTAATGTATTTCTACACATGTATGATATGGTGATGATATCAGTATCATGAAAGAAAGATGTTATGAAGGCTTCAAGCCAGTCAAACAAATGCAGTTCAGTGACCTGCTGCATGGCCAAGTGATACAAAACAATAAAGCAAAAGAAAGGATCTTGTATCAAGTTGAGTTATACATGAAAAGTGACAAATTATACACAACCAGAGATAGAACACGAAAGACACAAGGTAGCATAATCCGGCCCTCCCACCTGTTAAGGGCCATCCTTGGTGGGAGTGTTGGGGGGCGGTGGTTTGCGTGGTGTGCCAGGCGCCCCCTGTGGCATGCATAACCACACGCGTGAATGAGGCAAATGTTAGGCTCTAAGCTAAGTTGTAGGCTAAAAGCGCTTAGTCAAATTTTGCTCTTAAAAATAAAAATTCACCGTAATCCTTACATATCCTGAAACTGCCATCTATATTAAACATAAAATTTTCATGGTTCAAAAGAGAAACATCATTTCCAATAACATATTACATGCAGGCAGTTCCCTGATGTCTAAAGATTAATCTAATACATTTTGTATGTGAAGACACTATGCTATGAAACCATGCAAGAGACTGCTTTATAAAAGTGTAAATATACCTCTAATTAATCTACGTAAAATATCTCCATATGAAGTATACATGAGCAAGCCTAACCACAACTGCTAGATAAAATGTACTCATTGCTGGACTGAAATGTGAAAGCAGACCAGTTTCACAAAACAGAATAGGGCAATGGTTTACTATGTAAAAAATGTACTAGTAAAAGCTTTTAAATCAATGGCTATTCATAATATAAGACAAAGATTATCATTTGACAGATAAATTTACATTCAAAAGTAACACAATCTAAAACCATATTTGTTTCATATGCATATCAAATACTGCAGCTATCACTTATCAGAACTGCTTATACCATGGATGCATTTGTTAGATCAAAGTATATAAAAAATCCATATATATTTATTCATAGAAAGATTATAGAGGTAACAAATAAAGCCATACTTGTCAATATGTCTCTCTTTATAAGGAATGCCCTTCTAGTTTTGACAAAGGCAAACGAAATAAAAAAAAATCTCCTCTCCCCCAATACAAGTTATTGGAAATGATAGATCACCAATTAAACTGTTAGGGCTTCCCTAAGGCTCAATTGCATCCTCTAATTAAATAATCGAACAAGGCAGGCAAAGAAACAAGCAAAGCTTTAATGCTATGCTACAGACTGAATGTATTAATGCATATTATCAAAAAAAGTTTAAAGCATTAACTTAGCTTTCAAGATCAAATTTTGTCAAAGCTGCATAATTTAGTGATGATACTCCTGGCCATAAACAGCATGGAAAAGGTAACATTTCTGAAGAATATAGCCATCCCAATTCCAAAGACTAGTTTGCTTCAGCAACAATTCAGCAAGAGGATTTATCAAGTAAAAATAAATAAATAAAAAAGAAAAAAAAAAAAAGGAAAGAAAAAGTAAAGCTTGTTACTTGGGCACTAAATGACCTACCTCTGGCACAGAGTGGTACACAGCCAGCAGTTGTTCTGTACTTTTGGGAGTTCGTGGAGATGAGTCTGAAGTGCCCGTGGTGGTAGTGGCCTCTGAGGTTAGGGAATAATTGGGTCTCATATAAAGATAATGATGGACACGGCCCTCACGAAGGTCCCCAGAACTTGATGCTGTAGAAGCCTGAGATGGGCGCCTGGAGCCTCCTGTTAAATGAAGGGTCATGTCCAGATTAGAAAGAGTCAGGAGGGGCTGCACAAATGGAAAAAGAGATAAAAAAAAATAATAGTAAATAAATAAATAATAATAATCTGCAGCTGAGGCCAACCTGAAGATGTACCAGATGTCCTGAATCTGTGGGAAATCAATGTGTTAATTTGATCGCTAGCAGGTGAAGGGTAAACCTAAAATGACTATAGACTTGAAACATGGCTATCCACCATTATCTATTTCTATGAGGTCTACTTCTCATAAGTAGACACTGTATGACAAAGGTATTCTAATCTACATAAATCTTACTTCATATGTTCAGAAAAAAAGAAAAAGCTGAATGTCTAGTAAAGGAAAAGGAGATACACATCATAAAAACTCTAAAAATTTTACAGTCAGTATCTGATCTCTAAAAGCTTTTTATATTATACACTTGATGATTGCCCTTAAAAGCCTTGTATAAGTTCATAACAAGAAAAAAAGAAAAAAACAAAGAAAAAAAAGAAAAAAAGATAGAAACAAAAATCTAATCTACTTTATGCCTTGTTGCAATATCATTAGAATTATTTCATTGTGACTATGACTAGAGCAAAACAATAACCAAAAAATCAAGCAATATAATTTTCTACACCATCTACTTAGTCACAAAGTGCAAAAGGGGTTCTGGGACCAACTAGGGGTAACTGTAGGTTGTAAGGAAGACAGAGGAAGTTGGTTTTAACCTGAGTTAGCTAGAGGTCTGCAATAGACAATCCAATCCATTCAACAACTGATCACTGCAAATCTTTTGTTTCTAGCCTTAGATACAAAACCTAAGTAGTGTAACTTGCAAATTACATAGCCAATACCTGTATAAAAATGACAGTAATTAGCAAAAAAATCTCAAAAAACAGAAGAAAAAAATCAGACCAAACTGTTTTGACATTTTGGTCTGCTAACATTTCCAGTGATATTGGTAATGGAGTGGACATCCACTGGCTTTAAGTGAAAGGAATAGGTAGCAGGTCAATGGGGTATCTAGTGCAGACCTCTAGAATGTACGGAGGCAGGATCCCTAATGCACACGTAGTATCCAATCGGTTCTCCACGGCCCTCCCCTGCGACCAGACGGAGCGATGCTTGTGAAGACCTCCTGGTGCCTGTGGGAGAACATTGTGAGGTCAGGGAAAAAACAAACAAACAAATAAACAAACAAAGTGAAATCAATATGAAGAAAGAAATTGACCAAATAATAAGTATACAGAAAACAATTGATAATTACAAAGTTAAAAATTCTATAGATCTAAAATAGATAGGGGAGGGTAAAAGAGAATGAGAGTAAGGATGGGGAGGAAGGAGGAAAGAGGAAGGAGAGAGAGAGAGAGGGAAGGAGGGAAGGAGGGAAGGAGGGAGGGAGGGAGTTAGGGAGGTAGGAAGGGAGGGAAAGAGAGAGTGAGGGAGGGAGGGAGGGAAAGAGAGAGGGAGAGAGAGAGGGAGGGAGGGAGGGAGGGAGGGAGAGAGGGAGAGAGGGAGAGAGGGAGAGAGAGAGGGAGGGAGGGAGGGAGGGAGGGAGGGAGGGAGGGAGGGAGGGAGAGAGAGAGAGAGAGAGAGAGAGAGAGGGAGAGAGAGGGAGAGAGAGAGAGTGAGAGAGTGACTAACCAAGAGAAGCAGAAAAGCTTAATCATCAAAACACAAGACTGTGAGAATCTGAAAATAACATTAGAAATTAAAATAGGCAACAGAGAAAGATTAACAAACACATACACATAAGATAGGTAAATATAAGAAATATAAAAGTAATAAAATAGATATGAAACAATGCAGAAATGCCATTCAAAACAAACAAAATAAGCTGTACAAAAAAGTGAAAATAACAAGAGAATAGAATCCCAGAATAAGATAACAAAGAAAAATATAAATAACAAAAAAGATAAAGAAGAAAAATAAGTACTGAACACTGACCTCTTTGTTTCAACAGCAACAAAGATCTGTTATCATTATCTACATTTTAACGAATATCTATTCAGTACATATGATAGCTACCATTATGTGGGAATCTATTTGCATCTATTCAGTATGGTACATATGAAATCTACCATTATGTGAATATATATTTACAGTCGCTGATAACAGGGTATATCAAACATATGTTCTAGAAAGCTAAAGGACAGTATTAATTTCCATTTTTCTTTTTTTTAAATTTTCCTATGGACATATGATTATTGAACCTATCTCTAATAATTATAGCTATTCACAGGACAATTAAGATTTAATCTAGAATTACCTTTTCATGATTAAGACAAAAAATAATTACCTCAGATATGTAGTACTCAGAAGTATTAGAATTAAATGCATGCCCATTTCAGTAAACCATATAAAGTAACCTTGGATAGGCCTAAATACAAAAAATTTATATATAATGAATGGAAAAAGTATATGATTGAATTTCAGACATGCTTCTTTTACCTGAGCTTTGGATTATTGTATTAATACTATCATGACCTTCATAATAATGGAATAGACATAAGAAAGAGAGAGAGAGAGAGAGAGAGAGAGAGAGAGAGAGAGAGAGAGAGAGAGAGAGAGAGAGAGAGAGAGAGAGAGAGAGAGAGAGAGAGAAAAAACAGCAGCTTCAACCTTACAAATTATGCAAGATCTCAGAAATCACATAGCACTCTGATATACGAAGAGAGAAAACAAGTAGAAGAAATGCAAGGAAATAAAAATCAACATCAGAGAAAAGATGGAAAGAGATGGGAAAAAAAAAGAGAGGTGGGAAAACTGTTCACCAACCTGGACGATGGGGATGGAGGGAGCTGTAGGAAGGTCTTCGGGATGAGGATGCGGATTTGGTAGAGCGCAGGGAATGGTGTCTATCCCTGGCCGGGCTACTGCTGGTGGAGGCATTGGCGGCCAGGGCAAAGGCTGCGTATGTTTCTGGTGGAGAAAGTTTGCTCTGTCTACAACATATTCTTGTAACCACACTGGCTTCACTACTTTGGTCTATCATCCATTAAAAAGATGATGGGAAAAAAATCTGCATAATTTACCAAGTAGTGCCAACTGCTCAAAAAGTTAAAATTGGTTAGTTAAAATAGGTAAAGATGATATGGCTAAAATAAGTTGATGTACTATTGTCAAAACTAACAATAAAAATTACACAATGAAGAACTGAAAATCAAAACTTCAAAAATGACTTCTAAAAGAAGTTTATGACAGTTACACATGACATAAAAGATGTGTAAGTGAAGACAAATTGCCCCAAAATATGAAGCAAAGTTTCAATCCAACCACTTCACACACTTCACAGTCACTTTCTGTTCAGCAGTTATTTCCTTTTTGTTTTCATTTCTTATAATGTATATAAATCTATTGTTCTTCCAGTTTTCTATGTTCTAACCCAGCCATGTCTAGGTCTATGAGATACAAAGTAATGTTATTGTCTATGCTGTAATCTAATGTAAATAAGCTACAGTTGAAGTAGTGTTAATAACAAGACAAGAAATGTATAACAATTCAATCTATCTGGAGGTGAGAAGGAAATTATAAAGTACTAACGTGCCCTCTTATATTCTAATAAATCTTACTAATTTTAGCTTAATTGTCACTCCAAGCACTGATATTATTTACACAGGGGTGCTACTTATAGGTCGCTTTTATACTATTTATATTTATGTATATATGTGGATCTAAATATGGTGCTACAGCAACGATACAGGTGTTTCAGAATTACTAAACTTGCTGCTATACCTACTTCTCCTTTTTCCTCTCTGAACTCTTATGCTAGAATTTTTCTGTAGTACAGACTACCTATTGGTGACTATACGTCTAATAAATCATTTTGTTAATGCATTCAGTTTTTACTCTAGCATACCGAAAAACAATGGGAATCTAAATCTTATGGAAAATCTATAAGTCAAAAGGAAATACGTAAGACCATACGACGAGGGACTAATAGTGAAAACGTTAAGGAGATCGAAAATCCGCAAATTATCGAAAATATGAAAATCTAAGAAGACCAAAAATAGCCTTCTGGTGTCAAAATACATTTGGGAGAGCATGGCACAATGCAGCATCAGCAGCAGCAGCAGCAGACGCATGCGGGCGGGAGGGCACGTGTACCGCGAGAGTTCTGCTGCAGGGAGGGTGTAGATCGGACCCCTCTGGCAGGTGACCCTTGGACCACCCCATGAGATGCCCCTGGGTTCTCAGGGATCACCCTCAGAGGTTGGAGGGAGGGCCGCTGTTGGGGGGAACCACCGTGGGGGCCCAAGGTGGAGGCACGACGCTGGGGGTAACTCTGACGTCGGGCGTACACTTTGTGACCATGTGCATTAGCACACGCACGACGCTCACCTTCACGGCTTAGCTGACCTGAGACCCAACTTTACTTGTTGTGGCACACAACCTTCGACTCGTTATTCTACAGTGAGGGTGCAGATTATCTGAAGGTGACCTCAAAGTTGTATCAATCTATTATGCCAGGAAAGGTTTACATTGCTTTGGATATTTAGTACAGTTATGCATAATTCAATTCAACTATTTCAAAAAAGGGGCAAAAAATCTCATCACAAGAATGTAAGAGGTCCATCTAATGTTTCTACATACCATGTAAAAGTACTTCCAGTCCTGTGTAAGATTTTGTGTTAAATATACACATGATGAGCGTGAAAAAACGTTTTAGTCTACAATCTGTATCAAAAGATACAACAGAGAAAACAACTGGTGACTCAGAGCCCGGCTACTGCTCTCCTACATCTTCCCTAAAGAGTCTACCAAGTCCATGGTATCCAAAAAATGTATAATAAACCAACTCTACCTTCTGCAATAAAAAAGCTATGGATGTTCTACATAAGTAATAGAGGTACAGTTTTTCATAACAGCTCACCAAGTATCCTATCGAAAGCAATATAAATTCATAATGTGTCAAGTATGTGTCCCAATATCAAACATCAAAGTGTTCCCTTCTGTTATGTATTTATTTCCAGTGATGTCAATAAATATGCAATCTGCCTTGTATATCACACAGTAAATTTGCTTCACCAGGGTTCCTGAAGGAGCAGTTGCTGGGGACACAACGGCACTCACCAGAGACCGTGAGGGGTGGGTTAATACGGGCGTCTGCATAACGACGAGGGCGAACAAAGCGGGCACGGGCGAAGATCTTGAGCACAAGACAGATGAGGGCAGACAACACGGACATGCCTAGACCCAGACCCAGTAGTGTGGGGACGTCTGCCTTCAGGGCTTCTAAGCCTGCCGGAGGGCACCAAGACAGTCAAAGGCGAGACAGCAACTATTGGAACATTACAGAAACTACTATATACATGGGAGGGTGTGAGACACACTACAACTAGGAGAAGTTTGGAGATCTGAAAAAAGGCTCAATGGGTATAAGAAAAAAAAAAGAGTAAAGGTGGGGCTACAAATAATCCAGAAATACATCTAGAGACACTAAAGATAATGAAAGTACATAATGTAGGAATGGAAAGAATTAATAACACACTAAAATAAATTCTCACTACATTGTTAAGTGAACACTTACACTAACTCTACTGGAGGTATACATAAGGCTGTCCAGTTAGCCCATCAACACACAATACAGTAAGTATTGGAGAAATGGTATGCTTTCTGGGGATTTTGGTAGCACCATATTGGCCATCCAGTCAGAGCAAAATAAAATACCTTCACTCTTGCAACCTCAAAATCTGTCATTCTTAAGAATTATAATTCTTTTGTCTCTAAATTATGAATTTGATTATCATTTCCTTTAGCTGGGAATAAAGAAAACACTGGAAAGGAATTTTTTTTAATATATAATATAACTCTACAGAATTCCGACTAAGATTTTATCATCTGCTCAACTATTTTGCTGGACCTTTAACAGTCATTACAAATGTTTTACTTTTCTTTGTACTGTTCTTCTTTCCTTTTTTCTCTCTCTTTTGCTTACAAGCATACAGATAAACAAATTGACTGACATAAGACACACACACATACAAAGACACACACGCGCACACACACACACACACACACACACACACACACACACACACACACACACACACACACACACACACACACACACACACACACACACACAGGCACTCACACTTACACACACACCCACACCCGCATCCACACCAACTTCCAT